TCTCTGCTATCTATGGATAAAGGTATTGAAGGAAGATGAAGACTATGTACAAATAAACTCTGCTGTAATCGTTGTTATATATGGGTTTTTAAAGGAATATGAAGACTATTTACAAATAAATTCTGATGTAATCTCTGCTATCTATGGGTAAAGTTATTGAAGGAAGATGAAGATTATGTACAAATAAACTCTGATGTAATTTGTGTTATCTATGGGTAAAGGTATTGAAGGAAGACGAAGACTATGTACACAATAAACTCTGCTGTAATCTATGTTATCTATGGCTAAATGTGTAGAAAAATGCTATGTACACAAGAAACTCTACTTTGATCTCTGTTATCTATGGATAAAGGTATTGAAGGAAGAAGATAAGACTTTGTACATAATAAACTCTGCATGCTGTAATCTCTGCTATCTATGGTTAAAATTGAAGAAGAAGGCTATGTACATAAGAGACTCTGCTGGAATCTCTTATAAAGCCAAAGGCAGTGAAGGAAGATGAGACTTTGGACACAATTAACTTTGCTGTGATTCCTTTTATCTATGGATAAAGGTAGTGAAGGAAGATGAGACTTTGGACACAATTAACTTTGCTGTGATCCCTTTTATCTATGGATAAAGGTAGTGAAGGAAGATGAGACTTTGGACACAATTAACTTTGCTGTGATCCCTTTTATCTATGGATAAAGGTAGTGAAGGAAGATGAGACTTTGGACACAATTAACTTTGCTGTGATCCCTTTTATCTATGGATAAAGGTAGTGAAGGAAGAAGATGAAACTATGTATAATTTACACTTTGCACAAACCTCTGTTATCTATGGGTAAAGGTATTGAAGGAAGAAAATGAAATTATATTGTCTGAGATACGATCTTAGAAACCTCTTGAAAATACGATCTTTACAGAGACGAAATTGGGTTAATTCATTTACTGTTAAGTAATTGTGTGATTTGTTCTGCATTGCACAACTGAAATCACAGATATTACACTTTCCTACATTTTATAACACTGACAATTAGACAATATGACACTGAACATATTTTTTCAAAAATAAAATTTGTCTTCCAAATCTTTGCAGACACATTTTTGTGAGCATCTGATTAGGCTATATTACATATTGAGTATTTTTTGGAGTTTCGTAATTTAATATTTCTATTTATGTACATAAACGCAAAAGAAATGATATAATTCAGCCCCATTCCACCTCACTTTCCATTCTGTTTTCACAAGTTGAACATTTCCTAAACATCGTGAGCTTACAGTATAGATTTCCAAGGATACAATTGCTTGAACTTCTGGAGAAGGTAAAATGTATGAAATATTACTGGTCTGACTTTGTGAACTTGTAACTCCTCTAGTTATGATTTTATGCTCAAGAAAGAGGAAAACAAATTTATCCGGATACATAATAGAAATTAAAAAAATGTTTGTTCTTCTCTCAATAGCTTTCTTAAATAAGGAGTTAAGACTGAAAACATGTAATATTTCAATCTTACGTTTAGTTTACTTTAGTTTTACGTAATGTTCCTTTAACTCTTCCATTATATTATCTAAGCAGGATATGTCAGTTTAAGATATGATAGGATAATGGGTTCTTCTTCTCTTTAAATCACCTATTTCCTTTGTTTGTTTACAATATATGTAGACATTAATACAAGCAATCATCTAATATCCTCATATCCTCCCCACCTCAGAACTAGATGTTAAAAATATATATGTAAACATTAATACAAACAATTATCTAATATCCTCCCCACCTCAGAACTAGATGTTAAAAATATATATGTAAACATTAATACAAACAATTATCTAATATCCGGCCCACCTCAGAACTAGATGTTTACAATATATGTAAACATTAATATAAACAATTATCTAATATCCGACCCACCTCAGAACTAGATGTTTAATAATCATCTTTATCCTGTTTATATCCAATCTATCTATCTATCTATTTATCTATCTATCTATCTATCTATCTATCTATCTATCTATATATCTATCTTTCTATTTATCTATCTATCTATATTTCTATATTTCTATATTTCTATATATCTATCTATCTATCTATCTAAGTATATATCTATCTATCTATCTATTTATCTATCTATCTATCTATCTATCTATCTATCTATCTATCTATCTATCTATCTATCTATCTATCTATCTATCTATCTATCTATCTATCTATCTATCTATCTATCTATCTATCTATCTATCTATCTATCTATCTATCTATCTATCTATCTATCTATCTATCTATCTATCTATCTATCTATCTATCTATCTATCTATCTATCTATCTATCTATCTATCTATCTATCTATCTATCTATCTATCTATCTATCTATCTATCTATCTATCTATCTATCTATCTATCTATCTATCTATCTATCTATCTATCTATCTATCTATCTATCTATCTATCTATCTATCTATCTATCTATCTATCTATCTATCTATCTATCTATCTATCTATCTATCTATCTATCTATCTATCTATCTATCTATCTATCTATCTATCTATCTATCTATCTATCTATCTATCTATCTATCTATCTATCTATCTATCTATCTATCTATCTATCTATCTATCTATCTATCTATCTATCTATCTATCTATCTATCTATCTATCTATCTATCTATCTATCTATCTATCTATCTATCTATCTATCTATCTATCTATCTATCTATCTATCTATCTATCTATCTATCTATCTATCTATCTATCTATCTATCTATCTATCTATCTATCTATCTATCTATCTATCTATCTATCTATCTATCTATCTATCTATCTATCTATCTATCTATCTATCTATCTATCTATCTATCTATCTATCTATCTATCTATCTATCTATCTATCTATCTATCTATCTATCTATCTATCTATCTATCTATCTATCTATCTATCTATCTATCTATCTATCTATCTATCTATCTATCTATCTATCTATCTATCTATCTATCTATCTATCTATCTATCTATCTATCTATCTATCTATCTATCTATCTATCTATCTATCTATCTATCTATCTATCTATCTATCTATCTATCTATCTATCTATCTATCTATCTATCTATCTATCTATCTATCTATCTATCTATCTATCTATCTATCTATCTATCTATCTATCTATCTATCTATCTATCTATCTATCTATCTATCTATCTATCTATCTATCTATCTATCTATCTATCTATCTATCTATCTATCTATCTATCTATCTATCTATCTATCTATCTATCTATCTATCTATCTATCTATCTATCTATCTATCTATCTATCTATCTATCTATCTANGTCCCCTTTAAAGGAAGAATGTGTTCCCTTTAAAGGAAGAATGTGTTCCCTTTAAAGGAAAAATGTGTTCCCTTTAAAAAAAGAATGAGTCCCCTTTAAAGGAAGAATGTGTTCCCTTTAAAGGAAGAATGTGTCCCCTTTAAAGGAAGAATGAGTCCCCTTTAAAGGAAGAATGTGTTCCCTTTAAAGGAAAAATGTGTTCCCTTTAAAAAAAGAATGAGTTCCTTTTAAAGGAAGAATGAGTCCCATTAAATTAAGAATGTGTCCCCTTTACAAGAAAAATGTGTCTCCGTTGCAGGAAAAATGTGTCCCCTTTAAAGAAAGAATGTGTCCCCTTTAAAGGAAGAATGTGTCCCCTTTAAAGGAAGAATGAGTCCCCTTAAAGGGAAGAATGAGTACCCTTTAATTAAGAATATGTCCCCTTAAAAGGAACGATGTGTCCCCTTTAAAGGCAGAATGAGTCCTATTATATTAAGAATGTGTCTCCTTTACAGAAAAAATGTTTCCCCTTTTAAGGAAGAATGTGTACCCTTTAATTAGAAATGAGTCCCCTTTACAGGACGAATGAGTCCCATTTAAAGAAAGAATGAGTCCCCTTTAATTAGAAATATGTCCCCTTTAAAGAAAGTATGTGAACCCTTTAAAGGAAGAATGTATCCCCATGAAAGGAAGAGTGAGACCTCTCGGAAAGAAGGATGAGCCCCCTTAGAAAGAAGAATAAGTCCCATTTCAAGGAAAAGTAAGTCCCCTAAGAAAGAAGAATGGGTCCCAATAGAAAGAAGAATGAGTTCCCTAAGAAAGAAGAATTAGTTCCATAAGAAAGAAGAATAGGTCCCCTTTAATGGAAGAATGTGTCCGCTTTAAAGGAAGAGTGAGTCCTATTAGAAAGAAGAATGAGTTCCCAAAGAAAGAAGAATGGGTCGATCCTTAGAAGGATGAGTCCCCTTAGAAGGCAAAATGGGTATACTTATAGAAGGTTGAATGGGTCCCCTTATTTCCTTGACTTATATCCTTGTTTATGTGTGGGGGGTGAATGAGTCCCCTTTAC